GAGGGGAGGGGGAGGAGGAAGGAGGGAAAGGATCGGGGGAATATTGTCGCGAGGGAATAACCGGCGCTAATCGCCGTTGATGCAATCGATTCTGGATGGATATTAAATTTAATCGAACGTAGACATTTTTTGCCGATTAAAGTCCCCCCTCCCCCTCCCCCCTCTCGCCCTTCCCCCTCATCCGATTTTTACCGCGCGTTATCATTTCGCGCGATTGCCCGCGCACGCGGAACGCAAACGCGCGGCCCCGTTCGATTTTCAATTAGGCAGGCAAATTCTTCCCCGCGCGACCTTGCTTGTGCAGCGATTTTCCGCGTTGAAGTCTACGGATTGCGCGTCGATTGTCGGACACCGCGCGCGCATGCCCCGGAGGAATCATACAAGTGGATCAAAAAAGAAAAAAGAGGGGAGAGGGGGGAGGGGGGAGGGAGAGAAGACGCGCGGGAAGGACAGCGATCGCGAATGTGTTCGAACGTGTCTGCGATGTTGGAAGACGAAATTCATCAAACGTTTTTTTTTTCTACTTGATGCTTACAATTAGAGCTCCTCGAAGGAGTGAAGGCGATTTCGCGATTTCGAAGGGCGTCGTATTGTATAATCTCGGGCTGCTCGAACACGACGTCGCACGGTGCCGTTTCCCAGAACGCGCCGATCACTTCAAACGTCACTGTTACTTGTTTTTTTTTTCTATCTTTCGCGGTCCGAGACTGCAAGTTAGCGTATCACGAGGTGTCGGCCAGAGCGGCGTCGCTCGGAAAATCCGGCTCACCGCGTATCCCCGTATTACCTTAATGTCCACGCCGAATGAACTCGTTGTCGCCGGGACATTAAATTTTGTTTCCACATTTTTCTTCATTTCTCCGTCCCTCCGCGCGAGACAGAGGGACCGCCGCGACCTTCCCCCCCTCCCCCGTCGTATTTCCCGCGGCCGACGAGTCTCGCAGTCTCGCGACAATCGGGAGAGAGAGAGACTGCACGCGGCGGAATCTCACCTCTGGTTACACCTTCGCGGGCGATTCTACTTTTAATAAAGAGACATCAACGTCCGTCGAAAAGATCGAGTACTCGTCGTTTCTCTGTCGGAAGAAAAGAGTAGACGAGGCAAATTTTCACCGATTTACGATCTCGCAAGTATACTACGAAATTGCTCGCGAATGTTATATCTGTGTGCGACGAAAAAGAAAATAAGATCAGTAGATATAAATAAAGATTCGACGCGTGCCGTAAGATTTGTCGCGCCGCGCGAAACCTGGAACGTACAAAACATCACGTTTGATCTTGCAAAACAAAGGTTATTTTAATCTTTTTTTTTTTAAATATAAAACCACGTCTCTCCGCGATCAATTTCTCTCCGGCAATTCTCTCGACGGATCGGATCGCGGGCTACGTTAAGAGGAATCGGCACCGTTCTCGTTCTCGTCGTTGACGTAGAGCGAGACTATCGAGTGCTTCTTGCAAAAGGCCCACCACCAGCGGAAGCCCGACAGCCCGGTAAACATGAAGCCGGGGTCGTGCTTCCGCCTGAGCCGCTCGACGAAGTTCAGTATCGCGTTCAGGGACTTCTTCGTCCGCCGATTGTACGGGCTGACGCTGATGTCGCAGCAGAACTCGAGCACCGCCGTTTCCTCGCCCGGATCGAGGGCGGTCTCCTCGAGGATCATCATCCTCTTGGACTTGCCGAGGATGTTGTCGTAGAGGGTGCCCTTGGGAATGCCGTACTTGGTCGACGCCTGGGTGAAGCGCATCTTCTGTGTCACCACGGCCTCGATCGCCTCCTGGAGATCGTGTCGCGTCCACGTGGGCGCCTTCAGCTTCAGCAGGGTCGTATAGTCAGCTAGAAAATAGTCAGTTTCTTTTTCGAGCTTTCCTCTCTCTTTTGATTTTTTTTTTCGCGCCGAGAACCGCGGGAAAAAGCCGCACCTATAGAGAAAGATTGAAAATCACGCGTTCTTGAGCGAGAAGCCCTCTCTCCCTCTCAACTCTTTCGCTAATCCGCTTTGTTCTGCCCCGTTCTGTCGCTCGGGTGTCTCTGAACACCCGATAAAACGGCGGATGGAGTTTATTACACAAGAGAAGATGATATCTAATTAAAGATATTTATGAGACACGGTTTTAGGGAACATGCTGAGGACCCCTCAAGGGGGGAGGGGGGAGGATCGTAAAATTCACGAAATAGAAAGCAATTAATGTCTCGAGTGCGGAAACGAAAAGTGCCACGGAAAGAACGCGATTTTGCTGGATTCAGATCTGAAAGTAATTTTTGTTATTATATATACAATCAAAATAATTTTGTTGGTCAATATAAAATAATTAAAAATGTTTATCATTTTTGACTTTCCAACAACACTATTCTGATGATTCAGCAAGAATTACTTTCAGATCTGTATTTAGCAAATTTTTAGACCCTCCAGCAAAATCGTTCTTTCCGCGTGTGGAAGAGTTAGCGATAGATAAAAAGCTTTAGAAAGAGAATAGGAACGAGAGGATGGAATGAAGCATTGGTATTTTGCGGAATGCGCGTAATAACTGGGAAGGCTTGGAAATTATATATACAAAAATATATTGCTGCCGCCGCGTTTTTCGTTCAGACTAAATAAAGCAGATTAACGCAGCTTGCTGCAACGAAAGGGAAGCACGAAACCTGGGAGGTGGCAAAAGTGTGCAACGAAAATAGTAGCGGAATACGCGGCGCGGCATTCGCGAGTGAAAATACATACACGCCAAGGGTACGAATTTTACGAGGCCCCTCAAGATTCATTCGTCCTGAGTAAGCAATCGAAATAATTTACCAGGCATTTAAAACTCAGGGAGGTGGCAGTGGCGAATTAAAAAAAAAGAGCCTCGCCGGATTCCTTCTTGCAGACCCTTAGAGGTGTTGTACGAGCCGACGTCTCTCTCGAGCGATCATCGGCCTCAAGTGAAAAGACGTCGATTTAACGATCATTTTATGTACATGTCGCTGTCGTAATTATCGGTAATTACACGGCTGCAATTATTATAACTGCACTGTAATTATCCCTTCAGTCGCGCGTTAACCGTCAGGCTCGCCGACCCAGCTCGACGCGAAAGAGCGCGCCGGCGAGAAGACGAGGAGGGCACAGGGAGTGTGCGAAAGGGAATTAAGCCGGAGGGGGGGAGGGGGGAAACTGCCGGGCCACTGTGTGGTCCACAGAGCGCGTCACACCCACGCGTGTTAGCAGCAGTTAACGTCACTCATGTCGGGCCCGGGCGATTTATGCGGTGTCGCGGCGCGCTGCGCGCCGATTTCTCGTTCGCGAACTGGTTTCTCCCGCGCGCGCGCAATTGCGCAGGAAGACAACATTTCCAACGTCGCGTCCGAGGGGGAGGACCGGCGCGGAGAGGAAACGGGACGAGAAATGACGAGAGGTCTCTTCTCGCGACGGATTTTATTCCTCGCCGAAACGAGACTCGCGCGCGGCGTACGTGAATTCACACGTTTTGTGAATTAATTAAACGGCATTTCGGAGAGCGCGAATCTGCCACTTCCCTAACATATAAATGGATATTTGAAGCACCCCCACCGCCGAAACCGCTTAATGTACATCGCTTCGCCGCGTGAGAGGGATCGAAACAAAAAAAATAAAATAAAAAATAAAAAAATAGGAAAAACCCGCAAGTCGCTTTCTTTTAGCATAACAATCCGATTGCATTGAAATATGAATAATCTCGTTTCGCGCGCGCGAATCGATGGCGTTCCCCCCACGACCGCCGCGGGAACGATCGCCCGTGAACCACGCAAAAAAAAAAGAGAGAGAAAGGGAAAAAAATCGCCACGTATCGCGTGTAATGGCGTCGTGGTGGCTAAATCCGGGCTGGGGAAATAATCGCGTCGAATAATATTATCATACAATAGCGTTTTGTGTCGCGCGGCGCACGTGCAACCTGTAGTTTTGCGCGCGGGGCATTTTCTCTCGGATTGGCAAACCGATTCAGTCCGCTAGACGGACAATCGCGGCTAAGCGAACAATCGTGCTTAGGCAATTGCGTGTCCTCAAAAGGCGCGTGTGGATTAAATATTAATCTGATTGCCGAGTCGCCTCGTCGCGCGGGACGCGTCTCGTCGGGGGAAAATTATCAATCGGTTCGATTCACAGCGACAAATCCATGATCCACTCTTGTTGAAAGCATTCTGTTTCTTTCCGTCTCTGTCTCTCTCAATAAATTAACCCTTGTAGGATAAATTGAGTCATTCAACCACACGCGACTGACAATGAGTCATTCGTGTCGGCTATAATTAGTTGTAACATTTAGATACAATTTTTTTAACGCACAACCTTACAAATACTTTTTAATGATGTTAAAGTACACGAAAAGAGCGACTTTTGCTCTGAAAGATCTAAAATTTTGCTGGATTCACATATCTAAAAATAAATGTTGAATCATCAAAAAAATAATATTCGGACACTCAGAGAAAAAAAGATTGTACTGACCAATAACTTAATTATAATTTATAGTCATTTGCGGTATAGATTATATATTTTTTAGTAGAATTATAAATATAATTATATTACTAATATATAATAGTATAATAGACATATAATAATACATAACTTATAATAGTAATAACTACAAAAATAGAGTTTCTAACCGTAATTATTTTACCATATACTTATAGTCACAAATATCAAACACTCTTCTCACAATGAATATTAAAAAATTTTGAAATTTTAGCAACCATATAGTTTGCGTCTCTAACATAATTTTATTGATGTCCAATAACATTTGTTTTTAGATCAGTTGCAGCAACATTTTAGATCTTTCGACAAGATCATTCTTTCCGTGTATAGATAGTAAGAATCATTTAATAATAATTAATATGTACACGGAAAGATCTTTCAACAAAAGAACTTTTGCTGAAAGATCTAAAAATTTTGCTAAAAACAGATCTGAAAATTATTTTTTTCGTCGAATCATCAAAATAATTTGTTGGAATGTTAAATTGATAAGTATTGCTATATAAAACGTTAAGATACTCTAGCAATCATTTTGACTTTAGCACAAAATTATTTTGATTATTGAACAAAAATTATTTTTTCAAATCTGGATTCAGCAAAATTGTTCTTCCCGTGTAGAATCATTTAATCATTTTTGTACTTGTAAAAATGATGATGAAAATTAATCGATAGACACGAACGGATCCATCGTGTGTAATAAAGAACTGCAAAAATCGTCGTGTGTACGAAAAATGAATGAAAATTCTTCCGAAAACTTTAAAATATATCCGCGTCTGGGAATGTACAGTCATGGACACATTGGTTGCGACACTTTCTTTTTTATAGGTTTCAAAACGCACTATAATATTTTGCAAATGCGGACGGATTGGTGTTATACTGTCTCCAGACTAAAGATAGTACATCGTGGTTCGCATTTGCAAAATATTAGCTATAATCTATAAAGTATATATTATGTATATTAAATATATATTAGAGACCTATGAAAAAAAAGTGTCGCAACCAATGTGTCCGCGACTGTACCTCTCGGAAATAGCGCACTTTCTCTCAACTGCCCAAGTCCCTGGGCGACGATAAAATCGATATGATATTGTCAACAGGAAAATTGTATCGAGAGCGAGGTTCTTTAATCTTCCCGAGATTTTGAATCACTAATTTCTCCGCGGCGAGCGTCGCCGAGCCGAAGGTGGAGGCTCGATGTTCGCTTCGAGGAACGCTCTCTCGTCGCGGACGAGAAAAGCGCGGAATAAATAAGCGCGATCGTTAAGAGAAGCAAATAGCCGGCGGCGGCGACGGCGGCGGCGGCCACGTCTCATGGGAAGTCAAGGAGTAATCGAAGAAAATGATTTAAGCGAGCCGAGAGGGGAATACGCGCCTACGCACGCATTCGGCGTACGTTTAAACACGCACGCACGCACGCACGCACGCTCGCACGCTCGTATGCACGCTCGTACGCACGTACGCACGGCACCGGGGATCAATTCGAGACGCATATTGCGACGTTTATGCGCGTTTATGTGCGTTTACGCTCGGGCGTATGTACTGCGGCAAATCAGGGCTCTCGGAGACGAAGAAGAATATGGCTGGGAAAATTATTCTAACACGCGCCTTCGCAGCGACCGGGGTCCCTCGTACACTGAGAGAAAAGTGTGTTTGGCATTTGTGACTATAATTGGATGGTAAAGTAAATTGTGTTTCTCCAATTTTATAGTTATTATATACTGCTATAATGTTAGCGATTATATAACTTTATATGTATTTACAGTTTTGTTATGAAAAGATTATACTGTAAATTACGATAATTTCAGGTATATGTATACGAGTACTGTAAAATATCAGAATACGAATAAAATTACGATTTTCTTAACATTAGCTTACTATTTACGTAATATAATGATAAAAGACATGTAAAAGAAAAAATAAAGTAACAATCATAGTATAATTGCACAAATGCATATCATAGTAATCCCTTACAGAAATTTAATACTGGAGGGGCCAAATAATTACTTATTTTCAGCATTAAAAGCGCTGTTTGTTGGTGCTTTTAATACTAAAAGTAAGTAATTATTTATCCTTCCAATATTAAATTTCTGTAAGAGAGGATCTGTAATGCAGCGTTAAAGCAGCTAATTTGTATAGTTAAAGTAACTTTAAATATATAATTAATAATTATAAATATATAGTTGGAAATTATTATAAAGTAGCTAAATTATGATATAATGCAATCATTTTTTTCTCTCTCAGTGTAGGCATTCTGCTAGATTAGCGGGAGAGGAGAGCACTGAACATGCCTTCGCCAAGAGCATAAAAGACATATTTTCTTTCTCCTTTCGAAATCTGCACACGCGCGAATTTTCACGAAGTTTCATAATATACAAAAAATGTAAATTACACGCACTTCTATTCGCGGCTTCGGGCGCGTTATGCATAAACACGCGACTGTGCGAGATCACAAATAACTTCTCGAGCCTCTCGAGCGATATTTATCGAGACGCCGACTTGAAAACGCGAATACATTTTATCGCGCCTGCTTGTGATTGTTTAATTTTTCGTCCTTGCAGACTCAATGGATCGAAGTGCCGGTTTGAGATTGAAGGGTCACTTGTTTCTGGTGTGTGATATCCAGAGGTTTTATGGAACGGAGAGACTTATATTACTTTCGAGAGAGGGACAGCAGTGCCCGCGATCGATGGTGCATAAGGATCGCCAAGAGGCCGAGCCTCTCGCTCGGCGAATCGCGGGCGGTGTTGTGTTATCGCCACTATTAACCGGCGTCTCTTACCCGCATCGTTTATCTAAATTGCTTTCAATATTGAAGCAAAACGCATTCCCGCGCGCTTTATTATTGCCGGGTCCCGCCGCGCGCTCACGTTCCACCCTCTAATTTTATTGTTGCTCGGTCACCACCTTCGACTCCACATCGCGATATCTCTCTCTCTCTCTCTCTCTCTCTCTCTTCGTGCGTTTTCTCGTGTTGCCACCTCCCGCGATCGTCAGCGACGACGACCGCCGTGCTTCCGGGAGCCTTGTCGTCCTACTGCAAGTATATAACATTTGGGAAAGGGGAGATAGGGTAAGCAGCAAGATATCGATCTGTGAACCAGCCACGGGGATGTTCCATCCCCGAAGACCAGAGGTCGAGCACGCGGAAACACCGGGCGACGAGTCTGCAGTCGTCTACAGTCGTTTCTAGGACGAATTTCCCGTCACGTACGGAGCTGATGATTCGACCCCGTACCCGGTGAACAACGTGACCGTGAACTTGAAAATGGAGCGAGGCGGATCGGACGATGGCCCTCGGGGGCGGGGGAGGAATGCTCTCGAGGGCAGGAAATCTCCACTCGAGCACTCGGAAAGGATGATCGGTCGTCTGCGCCGCTACTTACTGCGGAAAACCGATTGTCGGAATTCTATGCGACAGATACAAAAGCGGCGGATGATATGCGACAGATATTATAGGAGAGGAATGTGAAGTCTTTTTTACAGATGTCTCTCGCGAAACAGGCTATACGGGGTGTCCCTTCTATCAAGTGTACTTTCCTTTAACGATCCACGCCGCGTGAGTGATTACGCGGAAAGAACGATTTTGTTGAAAGGTCTAAAAATTTTGTCGAATATAGCTCTGAAAATTAATTCTTGTTGAATCATCAAAAAATTTTATTGGAATATAAAAAATAATAAGCATTGCTATAAAACGTTTCGATATTCCAGCAATTATTTTGAGTTTCCAACAAAATTATTTTGATTAATGAACCAAAATTATTTTCAGATCTGGATCCAGCAAAATTGTTCTATAAATAAAACGCGAAAGACAAACTTGGAAAAATATATGCGGTAGTATAAATAAAAAAAGGAAACAATTATACATCGCATTGTTTGTGATTTATATCAGCATATTTCAAATATCTTAATAAAATAATAGAACTTTTTTGAATACTCGAGCTGACATTTACGGACAATAATAATCAAATAATCGTAATAAATTTATTGTATATTTTTTTTACAATTTAATTTTGATTTAATTTTGACTGAGAGAAAAAATGGTTGACATGATTTAACTACAATTTATGGTTATTTTCGGTGTCAACTACACGGAAAGAACAATTTTGCTGGATCTAAATCTAAAAATAATTTTTGTTCAATAATCAAAATAATTTTGCGTTGCGAAAGTCAAAATGATTGCTCGAATATCAAAACATTTTATAACAATGCTTGTCAGTTTTAACTTTCCAACAAATTATTTTGATGATTCAACAAAAAATTATTTTCAGGTCTGTATTCAGTAAAATTTTTAACAAAATCATTCTTTCCGTGTATATAAGTTTTAAAGTTATAAATATAATTATTACTAACATTACAATAGTAATCAGTATAAAAATGGAGCTCTTAATTATTTTACCACACAATTGTAGCCACAAAAACTTTTCTCTCGTCAGGATAAATCTATCGGTAAAAGAAAGTACGAGGACACCCTGTGCATAGAGGATAGTCGACCAAACGTCGTTTCGCGCGTGTTGTGTGTGTCTGTGTGCGTTGCCTAACGTGGAAGGCTTCCACGTTTACGTCCGGCCAGGGGGGGCCGTGTCGAGAGGGCGATTATCTCCTGAAACGTATCGAAACGAGACGAAGAGGAGAAAAACGAAAGCGGGACTCACCTGCTATACTGGAGGTGGAGGCGCCGAGCCAAGCGTGGGACGACTCCAACAACTTGGCCTGAAACAGAAAAGGTCGGTCGGTCAGACGTCGGTGTGCCTGGAACAAGCGATTAGCGGCGATTTAACGGCCGCCGGTTGGGAAAACGACTTAATCTTTTATCCGGAGCAATCTTCTTTTCTAACCGGAAGCAAAACGAGAGCTCCGCCGGGATAATTATTTAATCGAAACTCGTCCGCGGGAGAAAGAGAGCTCAAGTATTTTAATCCCTATTACAGGGGTACTAGCCGCTTGGCGTCGCGCAAAACACGAATGGTTTAACCATTAATGTTACACGTTACGTAACGGAGAATATATTTGTAAATCGGATTACGGTATAAAAAAACGTTTTGATCATCGAATCGCTCATTTAATATTTATATCTAGACTTATTTAATAATATTCTCGCTTTACACGGAAAGAACGATTTTGTTGAAAGGTCTAAAAATTTTGCTAACTACAGATTTGAAAATAATTCTTGTTTAATCATCATAATAATTGGTTGGAAAGTTAAAAATGATAAGCATTGCTATAAAACGTTTCGATATTCTAGCAATTATTGTGACTTTTCAACAAAATTATTTTGATTATTGAACAAAAATTATTTTCAAATCTGGATCCAGCAAAATTGTTCTTTCCGTACAGAATAAGTAATATGCTTAATATTAACCATAATAACATGAGGATAATAAGCGTAATAAAAGTCTTAATCTTGCAGTTTTATTATTTAATTTGGTGACAATCGTTCAAATATTATAATTTTATTACACTTTATTATTGTGCTGAACTTTTCATATGCTGCCTCTTATTATCCTTATATTAATTTTCACGCTGTCTTAATACACAATTTCTTGCTTACTTTATTTTACATTTGCAATCTGTTCACTCTTGATTACCATTTAGACTCTTTAATTTGATTTGAAGTATATATATTTACTAGTTTAAATGAACTCTGTATCACGTGCTGATAAAAATTAAACATAGTCAAAACAGTGTTTATTTTCTAAATTATTATAGAAAAAAAAATATTTATTAATGTTTATATCATTCTTAAATTTGCTTGTCCTTGGTCGTTGCTCTTTTCAATTTGCTTCGCAGTTAACGAGCTTTACGTTTTTTCTTTTATTATTAAGAGATTTAATTTCATAAATGAACACATAAATGGATTTCATGAGAGCGGCAAGAGATAAATATGATAATCTCGCTCGGGGAGAAATCTTACGGTTTTTTTATGCACAATTTTGCAGTTCGGCGCAACGCAAGAGAGCGATATGACTTTATCGAAAATTTTCCGAGGGAAAAATCGTACGTAACCGGAAATACACAGCGAGTAGGTAATCCGAAACTGTTCGCCTCGGCCGACAACTTTGCTAATATGCGAGGCTTTTCCGAAGGGGTTTCGCGAGACGCGAGACGGGGCACCCCGAAAGCACAAGACACACGCAAAGTTGGCTCATTTGAAAAGTTTCCGCCTCTTTTCTCCCTCGTGCGCGCTTTCGGATTTTGCGATTTCTGCAATATCGCGAGGCGCGGGCGCGTGTTGCCGTTATACCTCGTGTATACATTAGAACATATATTTCCGACCGAGAGCCTCTCTCTCTCTCTCTCTCTCTCTCTCTCTCTCTCTCTCTCTCCGGTCTGCCTTCTCAAATTAATTTTTAAGTGTCGCGATCGCCGCTCAAAAATCCTTCCATCACCCTATTTCTCTCTCTCTTTCCTCTCCCGTTTTTTTTTTCGCGCGCTCGGGTTAAAGTTTCGCGCGTAGGTCCGCGAATTTTCCCGCTCGCGAAGAGAGCCGAATGCCGGCGGGGTTTTGAGGGACGCTCGTGCGGAAGGACATTCTCGCGGCCTGCCATCATACATCCCGTACGTCTCCCTGCACTATAAAGACGTATCTTTTATTTCGAGCCAGAATTTATTTCGCGGCCATTACGGAAGTAAATGGACTTAAATTATTACAGACGCGCGTTAATCCTTCATACTCTTGAGTACCGAGACTCGAGACGCGAACAACTTAAATACCTACCATTCCGCACAATGGCGCGGTTTTCAGTATTCTTTTTGATTTCCGCGAGAAACGCGGAAACGTACGTCGCTCCTCGGAAGCGCAGAAAGCGCCGTGTATATACGACAACCTCCGTATTGTGTGCCGCGGTGTATATTTAAATTGTTCAAATCTACTCAAATGTACGCCCCCCCCTCCCCCCTTGCTCCCCTCCCCCACGCCGCCCCTTGCCGCTGCTATATCGCGACGCAGTTATCGTAAATCGCTTTTCGGGGTTTCTCGCGGTCATCAGAACGGGAGGGGAGGGCTTTCTACGTGGAGGAAAGGCGGCGGCGGCGGCGGCGGTGCGCGGTATAGCGAAATAACGTCTCCACCGTCGTGACACGAGGGGGATGGCACCGAGCGCTGGCAATTTCGCGAAATAGCCCCGCGTCAATACACGTGCACACGCATCTCTCGGCTAAACCACACAAAGAATTATTGAGCAGCCCGCTCGCTGTTTCCGACGAGCCTCGCTCGAGCCGGAGGAGGACGCGTAAGTGAGGGACCAAGAGGGGGAGACGGGAGAAGGAGAAAGAGGGAGGAGAGGAAAAAGGGAGATAGACAGAAACGAGGAGAAAGAGAGAGAGAGAGAGAGAGAGAGAGAGAGATTGAGCCTGCTCTGCAGTTGTAACTTGGACGCGCAAGTAGTATATCGTGGCGCGTGCATTTTTCATTGTCTCGCGTCCTCCCACCCCCGCGCCACGCCGCGCTCTGCGGTGCAGCTCGCGGGGAATACACCGTGCAGAGTGCATACGCGACGTGCCGGTTGACGTGTGCATTGACGAGAAAATTGCGAGCGTCCCTGCATGTATATCGCGGTCGCCCACCCTCCCCCGGTGTATACGCTTTCTCTTTCTCTCTCTCCCTTTTTCCGCATTTTTTCCTGTCCTCCTCGCCACCCCTCCCCCTCTCCCTTTCCCTTCATCCCCTCCCCCCCCGCTTCTTTTTTCAGGCCGTCCCTTTCAGGTCGTTCTTACGTCGCGCACGGAATGTAACGCCCGTCCGCGGCCGCCTTTCTCTCCCGCGGATAATCCCGTTCGACCGCACGTTGCGACGTGGAACAGGACGTGCAGATAGAAGATTCTTGTAATGAAAGCATTGCATATTATACATATACGCAGCCAAGTAATTAAGGGCGAACGATGGATCGCGGATGTTTCCCTTATCCGTTTTCTCCTTTCCGTGAAAGATTTCGACAGGGATTGAGATTGTAATGCAAAACGATCAGCCGGAAGAGATGCCTCCAAAGTCATTCAGACTGTGTGTCCGAAAGTTATTAAAAGTATAAAAGAGATAATTATCCGTTCACATCTTACGGGACGTAATTAATTTCGCGCATCAATTTCGCGTCTCGGGATAAATTTTCGATCGGCCGTTACGGGCAACATTATACCTAGTCTTTCCTGACGTCATACTTAAGGGCTTCGGCAAACGAGGAGAAAATCGCCTTCGCAGGAGAAAAAGGAGAGAAAGAAGGAGGAGGAGGAGGAGGAGGAGCAAGAGGATAAGCGGCGACGGCGGCGTCTCGACGCGGCACAGAGACAGCGCGTCCGTCGACGTCATTCAGCAGCAGTCTGCATCTCAATTTGTTTCGACGTGCAGCAGAACACCCGTGTATATAGTCCGGCTAGTTTCTGTATGATGCATGCCGCTAATGGAAATGAGGCCCCTCTCTCTCTCTCTCTCTCTCTCTCTTTCTCTCTCGTTCTTCCTCGCGTCTCTCGCGACTTCTCTCTGTCCGGTCCGCGACGCGGAGCGTGCATCCGTCTCCGTCATCCCCTTCGTCTTTCCCTTTCAGCCCCTTTCCTCTCCCCGCCGCCGCTCGCCGACCGGGAGGGAAGACATGAGCCACCCCGGCCGCGGCACCGTGGGGATTCGTGAATTAAATATCGCGCCGAGCTCGTGTGCGCGATTTTACCCCGCTTGTGAATCTCTCCCGTTTCTCTCTCTATCTGTCTTTCTCTCTCTCTCTTTCTCTCTCTCTCCTGCTCCGTTGCTCCTCGTTCCTCTCTTCAGCGCACACGCCCGCTATTAACCGCCTTCAAATTACCGGGCTGACCGCCTTGAATTTTTCACGAACGCCGCCGACGCGGTAACCCCGGCTGCACCTCCTTGATCGCGCCGGGATGCGGTTGGAAATTCCGGAAGCCGTTAAGGCTGACGGACATTCCAAAAGGCAGTCGTCGGCGCGAGCGAATAATCGACGGGTCTAATGTCACGAGGCGATCTCCTTGCGACTGTCGTATTTGTATAAATATGCAGTCTTGATCATAAGCATGATATATAAAAGCTTGATATATAAAAGTACTCGCATCCCTCCCCATCAAATTAACATAAACGTTCTATATCTAAAGAAAAATAAATTAAAAAACAGCTGATGGAAAAATAATATTTATTTGTATAACAATTTTTATATTTTGTCAGCCCCCTTTGGCTTTTATTATCATCTTTTCCAAGAAAATGATAATGCTTTATACTAAGGCTTGTAACAAGTAAACTATTCAAGTGTCAGACGCCGATTTATTTCATACTTTGGATTTCGATTTGAGATACCAAAAGATGATTTTTCATAAAAACTAATATTGCTCAATATTACCCGTAGCGCTTATACACGATATCTTATTTTTATAATAACGGAATAAAATACTTCAGAAATAACGTGTTTCAAACAAAATTTGCTTAGTTTCGAAAGATATAAAATAGTGACCTTTATTTGACCTAGAAGTTCCTACGAAGATCTTATTAATAACGTTAACTAAACTTTTCAAATAATATAATTTTTTACGTAAATCGATACCTTTTTTAATTTTGATATATATATATAATAGGTACCCAAGACAAATTTATCTGTGCTCTATCGTATTTGTGACGACTATTTCGAACGTACAGAGGTACTTTATTGCACTTGTATTTTTATATGCAGAATAAAAAAAAGCAATCGATTTACGTAAAAAAATCATATTATTTC